ATTGAAACTGACATGGCGACGGCCGGTGTCAGATTGCAATTTCGTGCGATGGGGCCAGTTAAACTCACGAACACGACATAATTACCGAAGTTGCCAGCAGCTCGTGGAACATCGTTGTTACCGGTGCAAGACAATGCCCGGATGCTACCTCTTACAACTTCCGGATCATTCGTCTGCCCTCTCTTTATCCCCATCCTCCCCATCCATCGGTCTGTCAGCTCTTACCACCGCGAGTAGAACGTAATGCAGCATTCTGGATTAATTTGGATGAAAGTTGAATGAAGAAGCAGAAGTAACCAACTCTGTGAAAGTCGACTTTGCAAAAGCTGTTCGGGGATCATCGCTTAAAATTAATTCCATGGAAATTTTACGAATTTCAATTAACATTACCGTGTTAGCTGCGGATGATAAGTTGTCCGAAAATCTGAATTATTAATTCTACATTCTTTGTTTCTTAAGTGAATCCCGTTGTAGGTTTCACTAATTTTATGCATAATTGAGACCCCAATATGCATAGATAACATCAATACGAGTATCACTAAAACATTGCAATATTCCTATAACAGTGAATGTTTTCAAAGAACGTTTTTTACATTTGTAGAATGTTATTTTAGACATGAGTACATATACGACAAAAAGTTAAGTAAATCTTTTTAATGTCAAGCGTAACTTTAATTTATTCGAACGTATTTAAAAGTATTTTGCATTGACCTATAATTTGTTTCTACGTCTGGCAATCTCTGATTATTAACCGCATTTTATTTTCGGCACGGTCTCCAAGATTCAAAGGAACGGCCATTTTTAGTGCAAATCGGAATTTAAGACCAAGTCCGCATTTGGCGGCGCAGAAAACGAAAGCCTCGAAAAGGTCACGCACTTTCGTCGCGGCAATCAGGTTAATGGAATATCACCTGACCTATTTTATCCTCTATATCGAGATCGAGTTAATAATCATTATAAGCATTCTCAATAACGAAGAACGTTATGCGCTGAAACTTTTTCGGCAGTGTAATCTATTACACCTATTGATCTGCTACACTACATGAAATAAAATATTGTACTGCGCGTTCATATAAATTGCTAATGCGCGCTATTTTATTTCTACTAATCTAGGAAAATAGAAAAATGTAATTCTCTGATCTATATAAATTATATATATATAAATTATATATATATAAATCTATATAAATTATATATATATATATATATATCTAATATATAATTCTAATCTAAAAAAATATAATTCTTAGGCTTACTTTACAACTCATGGTTAACTCTTAAACGAGGTATAACTTATTCCTTATTCTAAATCTAGAATTAAAAATTCAGAGTTATGAGAGAAATAAACCTTGGTCACAAGAGTTAACTGTAAGTTGTGAAACTGGGCCTTAATAATATAACATTTGAAAGGTGGAAAAAAGAGAAAGAGAGAAGAGGAGAATTAAAACTGTTCTCGGTCAAATCCGGAGCAATCATGAGAAGTGAAGAAAATGCTGCGTAAACTAAAATTTCCTAAGCTTCCCATCGACCCTATAAATAACATTTATCCCTCAATTAGGGGGCTCTTCTATTCTAATTCGTGAGCTTTATTATACAAGCGCATTATTACTTGAGCATGTGCATTGTGGAGGGTATCCCATTTTACCCCATTCTTCCTTCCCTACCAGGTGCTTCGCTTTCTCTATGTATAATCCTCAGGTTACACTCGCAAGCTCTCAACACATGGCTATAGCTCGCCTGTTCTTAAGCTCGCCGTAATCAACATTTCTTTTTTTTTATATGATTCGCTCAATTTATATCAAAATTTGCGACTAATCAGCGGGAGAAAATCTCCTTCACTTTGAAATTCGTATATCATGTGCTTTTCGAAAAAAAAAAAAAGAAAAAAAGATTGGAATTTTTATGCTTTAGAATTTAATACGTTTTTTTAACAACGCGGTTTTTATTAGAGATAAAACATTTCTAATCATTGCGAGATAAATATCAATCTTTTGATTTTTAAGTATATGAAGCTGTATAATATGTTATATATAATATACATTCACATATACTTATACTATATTATATAATTAAACTTTTTATCAAGAACTTCTTATTAAGAGCTACTACTTGTGAAAAAAAAAACACGCTGCTGTATTCTGCAACTTATTGCATTCAGCCATTTATAACCTTATCTTCTCTAATCAGAGTGACGTGATCATAAGAACCTCTGTAAAGATAGCCCCCTTCCATTATTAAAAGTTAATCTTTTTCAAAGTTCTGTATAGATTATCGATAGTTTCAGAGTTCCTGACAATTTTAAAAAATAGTTCTGGCTATATATAATGTAATATGATATTATTCTACTTCCTAGCTATGGAAAATAACAAATAAGTTAATTTTTTTAAATGAATATAAATATTTTTTAAAGCAATATATTTTAATTAAATAAGGCCCATTTACGTGATTATTATCATGGCTATTGTTATTTATTTGTTATGTGTGACGCCTACGTCAGAGCATAAGTTTCAATGCTGCTATCTTTTAAGAAGCTAAAATTATATTCAACTTGCTAGAAATTTCCAAAGATTAAAGAGTCAATTATAAACAAAATTAAAGATAATAGTAATGTTTAAGAGTAAATTCTAAGAAATTTCTTTCTTGTGATTAATAATCATTTTAAAACTGATTTAGAAAGATAATGTTTATTTTCTTTGTTATTATTAATTGATTTTTTATTTAGGCCTCATTATATTCATATATGTCACCAGGCCCAAAGTCAGAGAGAGAGAGAGAGTTAAAAAAAATTATTTTCTATTTATTTATAAATTTTGGTAACAGATGGGCAAGCATGGAAAAGTCTTAATACCGCTTTACGTTTATCATTATAAGTTTCATTTGTTAGTAGGAGATATACTGTCTATCCGCGGTGAGAGCAGCCGAACGATCTTTGCTTCTCTCCTCGCGAGATCGCTCATTCATATCTTTTGTCAGAATCTTTCTATTACATATCAATATTTTCTCCCCACGAATCGGGGAGAATCATTATCAATATTATTTACAATTTTAAGCCATTACAATGATACTTGATTGTGCAAAAACAATATTTTAGATTATCGAAGAATTATCGTTTTATCTTTCTTTTCTTAACTCTTATCTACTCCAGACCTCAGATATACTAGCGAAACATCAATACACGGATCCGAAAATAGATTTCACTTTAAATGAATACGGCATTTGCGGAAACTCGAATCAGCTGTGCTATATGTATAAAAACAAATCGAGCCATCTCGCACGCTCGGCTGCGAGGATCGTGGGTGATATCATCGCTATACAATTATTTTATATAAATAATATATTTTACTTTTGTATAAGTAAATAAAATAAAGATTCGATTCTCACTTAATTTATTTTAATATCGTCATATATATAATTTTTTAAAATAAAATTAATTAGATGGGCCTTATTTAACTCAAGTGTCTTATACAAAGGAAGGGAAAAATATTTGATCTCTGAAACATCTTAAAAAATATAAGCTTTATAGAAAATGGGTTTTAGATAAAAGTGCAGAATTTAAAAAGATTTTTTTTACTAATATTATCGGTTTAACATTGAGAGAGCGTCGCTAAGACCGGGATAAGTTTGCCTTGAATTTTTTTAATGGAACCTCCTATTTCTCTTATTGCGTATATTCTTATAACCTTTTTTTAGATTTTTCAAAACATTATAATTTTATCCACTTTAAGTAACCTGTTTCAAAGTTATAAAACGCTTTATCGTAAGATGTGTAGCCCACGAAAACGAGATTGAAAGATGATCCAACTAATGAAGGCAAGATCGAAGGATGTTCCAGTCACGAACTACTTACTTAAGGGAATCCTAAAGACGATTAGTCATATTGGAAATAGTACTTACACACAGATGATTACGTGTCATTGACGCATCACTATATCAATAACTAACTTACGCAAGCCACCCATGTACATAAATTTTCGTATTGAAATTTTGAAATCTTAGTATTTTATTCTCAGTATGTGTTTTATTATCGTATATTATTATTGTCTTCAAATTGTGCCTAGTATTGTCTCATTAATATACAGGGTGTTTGAGAAGTAATGAAAAATTTTGTCGCATAGGGGTAGAATGGACTAAACTGAGAAGAAAAGTCCTGTACCAAACAATTTTTACAATAGTTAACGAGATATTAATTTATAAAAATATCCAAATTTGCCCGGCCCACCGCCAAATGCAAGCGCACGGCTGAAATACAATCGCCCAGCGAGGTGCGCCGTGCGCATTCGCCATTGCTATACACGCGTTGTTTATAACAAAATTTTTCATTACTTCTCAAACATCCTGTATATTGTCGTTTATAATTGTCATTTTTGTATTTCATTTTCTGATAAGTGTTATAGCAGCAACATTGCTGGTACTTTATACTCATCAATAATGTGTTTACTTGTTTTTTGCCTATCTTAACCATAGCTATACACACTGGGATCCGGAAACTCCAGTACAATTTGCTAAATTGAGATTTCTTCGCGTTTCTAAACTTTTCTTTTTCTTTAAACCTATATATCTTAAAGCTCCTTTTTTATCGACTTTTATGCATTATGTATTTGTTTCTCTCTTAATCAATTCTCTATCAATTAAAAAGAAAATTAATTAAAATATGTCCATTTTTATGGAAGTTACGGTAACAAATATGAATGGGGTTCCAGAGATTCAAGTGTGTATATCAAGGATTCTGGATACAAAAAAACGGTGTGTATAGCCAGAGTTAATCAATGTACATCTATTAATACATAATAGATTAGATTAAATTAAATTAAATTGAATTAAATTACTCAACTTGTGCAAAGAGAAAACATTCTCTCATTTTAATGCACGTATATAGCTACATTTCAATGCTTTTTACATAAATATAACTTTAGCTCTCTTGTAAAACGCATTTAGATTCAACTTCAAATATTCTGGAATCTCGGTCTCTCGAATTCATAAATGTTTCTGCAAGTACTCACCATGAAGAAGTCTGCGTTGGTATGGCTGGTAGAGTTCCAGGAGGCAAAGATCTCCTCATCTGGCAGCAGGCTCTACCGTTGTTGGATACGTCTCCGCAGCAGACGGCTGGATTCGCACAAACGTGACGGCTGACACCGTTGGCGGTTGTCGTGGTTGTCGCAGCGCTGGCGGTACCGACGGTACTGGCGGCGCCTGTAGCCGCACCAAATTCGACTGCGGAAGGACGCACTTTGGGTCTCAGCAATGGCGACGTGGCAAACGTCTCGCGCTGATTAGATGTCGTGCTGCTGGAGCTGCTGGACCCAGGACTGCCGCCCAGCCGGCTGGACGTTGTGTATGCAAATCCACGGAATCGGAAATGTGTTTGATACGGGTAACCAGTAGGCGGCGGTAGCCGATAATGATGATGAAAGCCAAGGTCGCGACGCATGTATGGATCCCCTGGATCGCTCGTGGGTACATATCGATCGGTTGGCGTATGCGCTGCGGGTGGCACATATCTATCCACATACCTGAACAATTACAGAAACCAGGCTTTAAGTTCCACTCGTGTGGAAATGGATACAGAAGTTTAAGACAAGACGTGAAAAATTTTTTACAGAAAATAAACCGTTTTTTTTAAATAAATGATGTAAATTGTAAGGTTACGTTAAAGTACATTAAAATAATTGATTGGATAATTTTTAATATCTATATCGCAAAATTATTATTATGTACAATTTAATTAATAGTTTATTTATAGTGTAATTTTTCAAAAATCAGATCGCATAACATATTTTATACTGCAATTAGAGAAAACCAAATAAATTACTATTTAGTTTTATTGAAAATTTATTGAGAAATATATGGCTGAAAATATCTATTATAGACATAAACGAAAAATCTATTATAGAATTAATTTTATGTATTTAATCACGTAATATTTACTCGTATTTTTTTTATCGTTAGAATTATTGTAAGATCATTAATAAGATTATTTGAAGAAAAGAAAAAACAAAATTTCTGAGATATCTTCAAGGTTAGACATATATTGCGAGATATACAGCGATCCCTTATCATGCTCACTTGTCCGACTCTTACCTATCCGGATAGAGCACTTCGGGAGGCGGTTGAGGCACGTATCGTTCAACTGGGGTGTGCGCAGTTGGGGGTACGTAGCTAACGTTGGACGAGCCGTACGTGCGATCAGTGGAAGACGTCGCGACGGCGGTGGCGCAAGATATAGGTGTTATGCGACCGGTGAACCTATCCTTAGGCTTCGGTAAGGACAGGTACTTATCCGTGACGCTGCGTGCTGGCGAATAGCGATCAGTAGGAGTGTGAAAACGGTCTGTTCCGGGAGAAGTCTGAAATCGGTCACCACTATTGCTGGTAGTAAAATATCGATCTTGGCCGAACTGGTGATCATTCTGACTGCCGACCGAGTAGCGATCATAGTTGCTTTGAACCGATTTTGAGACCAAATACTTGTCGATGGTACTCTTTGTGTTCTGATAACCGCCATTGCCGCTGCGGTGGACGTTCGATGACGCTTCCGACGTTGGCGAAATTGACGCAAAACGCTCATTGGAGGCCGAAGATTGAGTGCTGGTGGTCGTTGTATAGGGTGAATGATATCTGGAACCTGAGTTTCGAATAGAAAATGATATTTATAGCAGTTAAAATTGAGAATCAAAGTTTATTAAAACATAGGAAAAATTACTAAACTGTTGCAATTTCGCGAAATTTCAAACAAAATGTAAAAATTGTATAGATATACACAATGTCCCAGAATGATCACTAAATAATAATTATAATTATTCTAAGTATTATATTAATCTATCTATCTATCTATTAATTATATTAATCTATTATATTATATTAATATAATTATATTAAGTTAATGAAATAATTATTCTAAGACATCCTGTATATATAATATAATTATCTTTTTAATTTTTTAAACTCTGTTTATTAATCTTGGAAAGACTTTAAAAGTGTAATATGATATTATTATGGTACCAAGTTTTTATGGAATGTACTATGGTATTTCCGGGGTACCCAATTTTTGCAAAGTAAAAATTTCAGAATTTGAAGGTATAACTAAAGTTGATTATTTAAAGTGGTCAAATATCAACAAAGTAAAAAATCCAAATATTAGTGTAATAAAAAATACATCAAAATGCGCAATGCGTATTTGTTGTTTTTAGTTAAAAAAAAAAGCAAAACGCACACTTATCAGTCTCTGATGAGGAGGACGATGAGGAAGATGTCGGCGCCAACAGACGTTCAGTAGAAGAGACGATGTAGCGCGGCGTCTCGGCACTGGATAGTCTGCCGTCGTGTGCGGGTGACGATCCAGCGAGGTACCGATCGCTGGAAAACCTATCGATCGATCGCGATTGACTGCAACGCTGTAGAGCGAGATCGTTAAAGCGATCGTTGCTGGACACGTATCGTGTCTGACTGCCGACTTCGGAGAAACCTGAGTATCGTCCGAAGTCAGCGGACGCTGGTGAGCCGATGGACCGATCAGTATACTTCTGGCAAACCGTCTCGACTCCTCTGTCGGTATAAAGGCGTCGGTTTTGCTCGGTATTACTTGAGGAAGTTTGAAGCGATGAGCGGTCTGACGATGAATAGCGCTGATGCGCGCTCTCAGGATTAGGCGAATTCGAAAGGAACCTACAAACATTCCAAATAAAAGAGACATGAAGTACATTTCGGAGTCCAACACGATTCATAATTCATTGTGAATTAGGTAGCAAATGCAACAATTACTGGACATCAAATATATGTGTATATTGCGGTACATAATATGTACCTAATATTGAAATATACGCAACTACTGATTACTACAATAATTCACAAACAAAATTATTGTTCAGAATCAACTTAAGCTGACTTAAACTCACCTCTCAGTGGGCGTCGCCATCGCCGAATACCGCTCGTGATGTGCTGGTGGATCCTGTCGTGGATACCTATCGTGAATGGGCGATTCACCCAAATACCTTTCCGACTTGTCAACGAATCTTTCAGGCACCGGTGCGTGTATCGGTGATGAGGATAATATCCTATCAGCGGAAATGGTGGCGTAGCGAGTATCTTTGGCGTAGACCGTGCTGCCCTGGAGTCCAGCTTGAAGTCCTCCCAGGATCGGAGAGGATCCCGAAAGCAGGCGATCAGATGGTCCAGCGTAACGTTGTTGATCCTTAGCGTCGCCTGTATCTGACTGCTGATTGGCCAGCAACCGTTCGGCGGAAGCAAAGCGCTCCTTGGCGGGCATCGACGATGCTGAAGCGGCACTGTCGGCACCATACTTGGGCCCCGGAGAATTGGAGGGCAAAATGCGATCAACAGAAGAGTAACCAGCCAAGCTCTGGCTCGAGGCATACTTCTCGCTTGGACTGGGCGACAGTGGCGGTGGTGGGACAAAGCGGTCATTAGCCGGTGCTGGAGATGGTGGCGATGGGAACGTTTCGGAAACGAAATTACCCGTGAGTGCATTCGCGTTCGCATACTCGTTGGACCCGCTCGTGCCCGTCGTGTCAAAACGCAACTCCGGGTTGCAAACCGAGTAACGATCGTTCGAGACCCGTTGCTCACCGTGCAACGTGCTGACGTCATTGAATCGCGTGAAACGATCAGCACCTGCATGTGCACCGCCGTAGTGTCCCTGCAATGAGGGCTGACCGAACGTCGAAGTCTGATAATGCCCGAAACGTTCGCAACTCGACTGTCGACCGTCAGCGGTGCACTTGGTGAAATCGACCAACAATTTATCAGATGATTTCTCGTGTCGCTCGCCCCCCATCCGACTCCCCACTTGTTCGCCGTTTTGAGCCTGATAATGTCCGAAACGTTCACAACTCGGCTGACGATCTTCTCCACACTTTGAGTAATCAATACAAGACTTATCCACGGTCTTCTCGTGCCGCTCAACCCCCATCCATCCTCCCACATGCTCGCTTTGAGTCTGATAATGTCCAAAGCGCTCACAACTCGACGGACGACTTTCTCCGCACTTAGAAAAGTCAATCGTAGGCTTCTCCGCGGATTTCTCGTGTCGATCAACCATTCGGGTCCCGACATGCTCGTTGCTTTGGGTCTGTTGGTCCGATTGGTGACGCTCTTGACCCAATTGGCTTGCTGTACTCGTGACCGAACGCAAGTCGGACGATTGTTGCTGTACTTGCTGCTTAAAGCAATCACTGAGATTGTTGGAACCAATCTGAGTCCCCACGCCGCTGGAACTCGGTGCGCTCGATCCGGGAAGCGGGGATGACGAGGATCCGTACTGTGCGATCGGGTGCTGGTGCAACAGGAGACGATCTCTTCGGCCATAGTCGTCGTCTGTCGGCATCCTGGTGGCCCGGGGCCCACTGTCAGGACATCTGTAATAAAAACCGTGATTACAAATTTTAATTTACGAAACGCTAGTAAATATAAATGTATATTACTTGTATTTTTTGAACTAAGGGTGAGCAAACAAAAATTCCAACTGAGCATTCGTGAGCAAACGATGAGCAAACGAATGCATGAAGAAAAAAATCGATTTTTTAATATTGGAAGGCCAATAGGGCTTCATACGGGTCGTGAAATGCAGGATTTTCCGATGGCAACTCGATATAAATATATTCTATTGACTATTCATGATGTTCATCGCGGTCATTACGTAACTATTCTTCTCGCATAGTAACAGCAGAATTAATTCGAATTGATATAGTAAACTTGTTTTTATATCCATTAAAAAGGATTTTTTCGATTCTTGCAAATTAATAAAACCTTATTGTAATGTACAATTTATTTGTTACAAACAAAATACTTAATATCATTATAAATAAGTTTGTAAAACGATTTGTTACCTTATATTTTCCACAAGGTTTTTATCATTTTCATCATCACGCGAATTAAAGAGAAACGGTGAAACATTTTGCATAGACAAATTAATGTACAATAAATTTTTTTTAATGAAACAATTCAAAATAAGAATAATAAGCTTAACTTAAAAGGCTGACATGAAAACTGCAATATTATTAACATATTTAAGCAAAATAAACAACACAGTAAGTATAGCTTGTTTATTTTTTTCTTTTATGACATCCTGTTACAGCTGCTTGCGGAATTTTGTATTTCAGAAAGTAAAGAGATTAAAATACGCGTTACATGTACTTTAATCTCTAGGAATTAGCATAAATTAAACCTAAAAAGTGGACGAGGAAATTACGAGGACAGATGTTCTCACGATTGTTCCCAGGGCAATGTTTGCATTATCTAAGAGTTTTAAAGGATGAGGAAATATTGAAATAATACCGAAACCGTTAGGTTCTGATGTTTGATTTGCGCCAAAAACCTGTGACAACCAAAAACAAAACGTTTCTACAACACATTAAACTCGCTAATTGTAAAAATCGCCGGTGACGATGCGTTGTTTTTTGCTGCGTTTGGCGAAAGGGCCAAAACTTTCGAGCAAAATTCTATATACAAAATAACATAAAAATTAAAAAGCAAAATGTCAAGAAGTATCAGAGAGTATTTTACTTATTAAGTATTAGTAATGGATTGAGGGGTAGTATATGATGCAGATCGCATGGTGTTGAATCCTAATAACACCACGTAACCTTTCTTATTCAATCCCTATCTTCATCTCCAAGCTTTAAGCTGGTGTACCCCGGAAAACCTGAGCAACCTTACCGGAGATTAGGTAACCAACTTCAATGGAAGGTGAGATCAGGACAGATTTATAAGAAGGGAAAATGGCTCTCCGAAAAGAGGGTTGAGTTAGGGGCTAATGGCCTCTTCTCATAAAAAAACGATATATTTTCAGGAAAATATATCCGGACGGCTCTTAAGATAAAGAATTAGCAAACGATGAATAGACATATGAGATTGGGAACGTGGAATACCCAAATATTGTATAGAACTAGATTATTCAGGGCGCGACTGGAAGTAATGAATGAATACAAGTTGGATATATTGGCGTTACAAGAGATGTTGGACAAGGCGACATAGAGAAGAAATCATCATACAACTTGTATTACAGTTATAAAAATGAGGAATATGTGGAAGAAGTTGAATTCGCAGTCAACAAGAAGTTAAAGGAACGTGTGATAAGGTTTAAAGCTGCATACGCAAGAATATGCAAAAAAAATACAAATAAAAGGGAAGTTCATCAACCGTAAAGAAACCTAAAGAAAATAAGGAAACTTCTTATGGTGTGAATTGGAGAGAATTATAGTTAAATTATGGTTATTCCAACCATTTTTTCTCTCTGTATATCATTTCGTGTTATCGAACACCACTTCCGGTCCGGGCAAGCTGTCTATTCCTTCTGCGGAACGTCAAAGAAATTCGGAGAGAGCCTTTCTCGTTCGGCAGAACTGAATTTGACAAATGGTTTTATTCGGCAGTTGACGAGCGTACGTGCGCGCGACACGTGTCACGCGTGGCCGCGTTCTCCGATGGCGGCTGCCGAGAATACAGCATTCCGACGGAATTTCGGAAGTCACGTCGAAGGACGTCACCGCTCGTCCGCGAAACGATCCCGGACCTTCCTGTGTCGAAATGACGCCGTTTGAAATATTTATGATGGAAAATTTTTAGGATAAGATTACACGCAGACGACTTGCATCACGCGATATAGAAAGAAATGTCAGTACCGTTTTAAAAATTAAATTACATTGTAAGAAATCGAGACAAATTAAATATATTAAGAAAATTAAAAATTAGTTAAAAACTATTTTTATTTTCAAATATATCTAGAAATTAATAAAATAATTAAAAAATTCTCTCTTTTTTTCTTTCCTTTATATTAATAAAAGTATTTTATATTAATAAAAGTATTTTATATTAATAAAAGTATAAAATATAAATGTTCAACAAACTCTTTAATTATCAAATCGATAATAATTACGTTAATTATAAATACAAAAACGGAAATTAATAAAAAATGTATTATTTTTCAAGAACTTGAAACAGTATTGTAGATGTTGAATGCAACATGAATCTTGATGATTTTAGGTCAGATCGTTTATCGAACTCGCATTGCGACTTCTTTAATAGCGACTCGATTTGCCGAGGAGATGGCGATTAATTCGTCCGACGACGAGCCGAGAGTTTCATCTTTTACGAGCATCTTTCAACGATTGGCACGAGCCTGCCTGGCACCGATCCAAATTGAATCCATTTAAATACCTGGTCGTTGCCACCCAACCCTTGCCGGCGTAGCCCTGTAATTTCCGATTTTAGGAGAACTGCTGCAACCTCTGCGCAAGAAACTGTTAATGTACTAAGCGTGTGTTAGATCTAAAAATTTATAGATAATATAAAAATCTGTTTACTTTTAATCATTTATAATTCAAGAATATATTTTAACGGAATTAAAATTTATTTACATAAAAATCTGTTAGATTTTATTAAAAAGAAATTAATAATAAATCTTATTTAAAAAAAAAACTATTTTTATCTATTGCACGTGTTCTTTCACATTTTGGTATTAAACCATTATATTCTTTACTCTTTTTAAGTTTTTTTACTAAATCAACCTTATCAAAGTAATATTTTTTGTTGCGTAATCATTTCCGTCGAATTTATTTTTATTTAAAAATTATTTTATCCATTTTATAAATGGTTTTTGTCACTTATTGGTGTTTTTAATTGCGTCTTCTGCGTCCGACTTCTATTGCCCTTTATTCTCTCTAATTTGTTTTATTCATTTTATTTCATTAAAGTTTTTATTTTCACATTTCAATGAGATTAACAGAATTTTTGATACATACATTGAAAAGAATATCATTTTCTAAATAATTAAATACTTCTTTGGGTAACTGATTGAATTAAATTTGCTCCCGTCATTAATTCTTATTTGATCGTGAAAAAGAAAAGTTTTTTCAGTTGCAAATACAATATTTACAAGAAATTTTATCTTGTAATTCTTGAATTTTACACTTTTGTCATGCGACACTTTTAAGCTAAGAAATTTATTAATCTTATACCACCAATGGTAATATATTCTTACAAAACTATAATAATAGCAAAAGGCGTTTGTTGCCTATATAAAAGAATTTAAGTACTTTACTCTTTAACGAACTGGAATTTCAATTGGTCACTAATGGATTCTCGATTCTATCCGTCTGTTACTTTCGAGCCGTGCGAGTCTAAAAGTACTCGAATTAGTATGCCGCTGGTAGATTTCAAGTCGGATTAGCTTGAGATCATGCGAGACAATTATTATTCCATCGCCATAGTATCACTTTTGCTTCCTAAAATTGACAGGCTATTCCAAAAGTTAATTAAATTGCCACTCAAAAATGTTTGTGAATTATAAAGAGCTATTTTAAAATTATTATAACATTAAGAATTCAAATTTAATTTAAAATCATAAAGCTGAATTTAACTTTAATATTATTTAAATTTAATATTAAATTTAAATAATATTAAAACTACCTAAAAAGTCAACTTAATTTATAAAATTCGAACACATACGTAATAATTAAAATTATTGAAATATCAAACTTGTGTGTAGAATCTACTTAAAAGTCAATTAATTCTATAATATTATTTGACAGCATTTGAATGTACTTCAGAAGTACACAATGCGGATCACAGAAAAACGTATTCAAATTTAATTTTTAGTTGTAAAAAATAACTACTAATACTATATTGTCATAAAACAATAAAGACACTTACAACGATGATAAATATTTACTTTTACATAGCCAGCCTCAATTTAACCTTCCTCAGAGAGGATAAAATCATTAACCTTTTCCGTCAAATTAAATACTTATTCATTTAAATTATTTTATTAATAACTTTTCAATGAGCACAACAAGCGATGGAAAAGATTGATAACCTTGAATTCCTTGAGGATCAAAGTCATTTGAATATCAAGATCATCTGTGAAATTAATTTGAACCTGGCTGTGTAAATATTCACCATTTTTGTCGTGTGTCCTCTGAAATATATTATAATATTAATTTCAGTAATAAAATTAGATAAATTAATAATTTTATTTGCTGAAATTGTATTGTTCTAAAACAAAGAACAATTTCAGCAATATTTTAGTGAAATTTCAACAAAATTTCAACGAAATTTCTCCACCAGGATTAATATTTACTTCTTTAATTTTGATAGTTAACTCTTCCAATGCCTTAGTTCAGATCTACTTGCTTCAGTATAGATTTAACAGGCCTTAGCCGTAAGCTGAAAGAGGTTAAATGACATTAATTTCTGTCCTTAAACTGTTTTTTTTACAGTCTTAAACCATTAGACTTAAGCAAATTAAGCGAAATCCAATTCTTACGGCTTAACGATATAAGTTCTCTGGCCGATATATTGTTACATACAACTTATAGCTTACGGCTTACGGCCTCTTAAAGCAAAGTTTTAGATCTAG